GATACTAATATATACAGGGTGTTCCGGTGACTCGGGGCATAAAATTAACCTCATATACTAGAGCAAAAATGATGACGATACGTGAAAAAAAATTATTATAAAAGTCTTCAAATGGCCAAGATATGGGCCATCAAAGTTCAAAAATTTTAACACATTTTTCTAAATATTTTCAATACCATTTATGGTAGAGCGTTGAAATTTGGTACAGGGTAAACAAATATCAAGCAAAATCATTGAACCAATTTTGACTTTGGTCGGGCGACGGCAACCATGCTATATAGGTGTCCCTAAAATATGTTTGCTCAGAACTTTTTTGTACGCTCGTAACTCTACATTTATTTTTGTACTTTTTAATAGAAAATTTATTTTAGAAACTTTTATCACTCTTAGAAAATTTTGATAACATTGACCGTTTCCGAGTTATACGCGAAAATATTAAGCTTTGATTTCAATCGTAACAAACAAAAAAAAGGAAACATATTAAGCAAGATCTGCGTTGGCGATGACAATTGAAAAACGAACTGAGCTAATAACCATTATTATTAAACTTAGAAAATATTTAAGAGAAAATTCAACTTTTTTGTCTAAATTCAACATTAATTCATATAACGCTCTAGAAATGAACCCACTCATTCCTTCTTTGAAAAGTCTGATTAAATTGCATAAACCTGAAAAAAGCATAAGACCAATTATTAGTAATCATAACACTCCAACCAATAAAATTTCAAAACTAATTCAAAATTTCCTTTATAAACTTTTTCACAACAGCTTCACACACACAATCAAAAACTCTACTGATCTAATAAATAAACTAAAGACCTTCAAAATTAAAAACCTTAGTAAACTAGTTTCCTTCGACATAAAAAATTTATACTCTAACGTTCCAATCGATAAAACATTATCTATCATCACAAAATACTTGATCAGTTCACAAGATATCAATAATTTAAACATATTAGAAATTAATAGTTTCATTGGTCTTTTGGAGATTGTATGTAGTCAGAACTTTTTTACCTTTAATAATAGATTTTACAAAATGAAGGACGGTTTGCCTATGGGAAAGAATGCCTTAATGAATTTGAAAAAGAACTATTTTCAGATAAAAATCATTTTTTCAATAAGGATATTGTTTTCTATGCCAGATACGTAGATGATATCCTTGTTGTCTATGAAGAAAGTCATGCTAAACTTGGTGGTCTTTTCAATCTGATAAACAGCATTTGCAATTTAGAATTCACCCTCGAAAAAGAAAATAATTACAAAATAAATTTCCTAGATTTAGAGTTAACTAGAAACATTAAAGAAAGTATTATCAACTTCAATATATTTAGAAAACCCACTACCACAGATTGTATTATACCAAAAAGTTCCTATTCTTGTGATCAACATAAATTTGCAAGTTTTCGCTTCTTTTTCAATAGAATTTAAAGGAACGTTATATCCTTTAAATAATGATAACCTCAACCTTGAAATAAAAAAGATTGTAAAAATAGGACTCAATAATGGTTTTTCTATAAAAGATTTACAAAACATTTACTATAAAGTGCACAACTCACAAATCACTAAATTAATCTATCCTCACACTAAGTCCAAAACCAAATATATTGCCTTACCTTATCACCAATCTATTGTTAACCCCGTTAAACAAAATTTGTTAAAATTTGGCTTTGCCCCTACCTTTGTCTCTCAAAACAAAATTCATAAACACCTTTTTAATAATAAACATCAATTTAACAAAGAGGAGCTGAGTGGTATTTATGAAATCAAATGTCCTGATTGCGATAAAATTTATATTGGTCAGACTGGACGCAGCATTAAAAAACGTTTCAAAGAACACCTAAGCAAACCCTCATCTGCAGTTTTTAAACATATCAACGAACATAAACATAAAATAGAATTTAACAATGTTAAATTACTTTTAAACGTGGGGAAATCGAGAGAAATGGACCTTCTCGAAGAATTGCATATTAATTTAAACAATTATAATAACAAACTTTTAAATGACACAACAGAATTTAATAATACCCGCCAATTTTTAAAATTCATTTAAAATTAACCTCTCCCCTCCACTACCTTTTTGCTTTTCCGGCGCAAGACTTTTCCCCAAATTTTATGTCCTTCAGTTTCTTCACGTCGCAGATGGACTCATAAGAATAAAACTTTAATTTTTACGATAATTTTTATAAAAAAAAAATTTTTTTCTTGTAAGTTATGCAACTCTTAATTTAATTAATTTTTTCAAATTTACTAAATAAACTTTCCCCTTTCAGATTTAAACAGTTCAATTAATTTCAATTTCTTAAAAACCAGTTTTTTTAACGATGAAGAGTAAGTGGCCTTCTCGATTCCTTTAACATAACACGTGTCTCTATCTTGTTTTAGAATATTTGTAACCAACTAACTTGCCCTTAAGGCCTTTAAAAAACTTGTTAACGCCTTTTGTCTCGTCCAATCACCTACAAAATTTCACCACGTTTGTCAGATGTTCAATTTCGTGCTCCATAAGTAATTGACGGTAACTAAATAAAATTAAAAAATATGTATAACAAATTTCTTACTTCAATTTTATGTTTTTTAGTCGTGCCTGATGAAGAGATTTTGAATCTCGAAACATGTTGCACTGATCTTATATTAAGAATAAATAATTTTTCATCGTTCCCAAGGAGCTTTTATTTATCAATTATTTGCATAAATTACTAAGTGTAGATTTAGTTAAATCCAGTGTTAATTTATTTTAGTTGAATAAAAGAATGTAATTTCCAAAACGATAAATTTAATTTTCAAGGCAACAACAAATAAGAACATAACAAAAATATTAACAAGAACAATGAAATTATAAATAAAAAAGAACAAAAAAATACTAAAGCAGATGTTCAAAAACACTCCCGTCGGCATCAATGCACGCCTGATATCGCCGTTTTAAATTAAAGCGCACTCTGGGGAGAACATTGATCTCAGTTCGAAGTTGATCAAATGAATCAACAATTCGCAACCTCAGTTGATCAACTGAAGTTATTTCAACGCAGTAAACTAGCGATTTAACGCGTCCCCATAAATAAAAATCTACAGGTGCACCTACTCCTCGTCCAATCCACCGTCCCGGAAAATGTTCCTTCAGAAATTCTTGGACAGCCTGTGTGCTATGCGCAGGAGCACCATCATGCATATACCACATTGCTTGCCTTGTGTGTAAAGGAACGTCATCTAAAAAATCATCTAATTCCTCTAAATGTCGCCTATATGCATGTCCATCCAGCCTTGATGGCAAGAAAACGGGTCCAATAATTACATCGCCCACAATGCCAGCCCAAACGTTAAGAGAAAATCTCCATTGTGATTTCCAAGTTTTCTTAAATCTTGGATTTTCGTCCGCCCAACAATGTAAATTTCTCAAATTGATGATTCCATCTTTAGAAAAAGTGGATTCATCTGTAAGAAGCAATTTTTCTTAAAACTGATCATCAATTTGGATTTTGTGCTGCATTATTTGGTAATATTGCAGTCGCAGTGGGTAATCAGCCAGTCGAACTTCCTGAACTTTGTAACAATGAAATGGATAAAGCTGTTGCTCGTGAAGAACACTCCAGACAGTTATTTTTGAAGTTAAAAAGTGCCTCGCCATATCCAAAGTACTAGCTGTAGTATTTTCTTCTACGTAGTCTAGAATATCTTCTTCTAGTTCGGGTGTTCGGACTGATCTTACGTTACCGTTGTTAGTAAATTTCGGCTTAAACGTCTCATTTTCCCTTAAACGGGTTTCAATCCTGCAAAATGTTTTTCGATTGGGCGCTCTGCGGTTCAGAAATTTCTCCCGATAACGGTTAGCGGCTGCTACGGTGTTTCCATGACATTCCCCTAATGTCAAAATCATGTCAGTTTGTTAACTAAATGTGTAACTCTCCATTTTGAACACTTAAAATTAATAAAAACTTAACTAACAAAAAACTATCATTTGTGTTTAAACGACATAAGCAGGTTGACAGCTCAATTTGCTTTTTTTAATTGCCATGGCCAACCTTGACTTTCTCGAAGATTTTTGTTTTTTAGTGTTACAATTGAAGTCAAAGCTTAATATTTTTGCGTATAATTCGAAAACGGTCAATGTTATCAAAATTTTCAAAGAGTGATAAAAGTTTCTAAAATAAATTTTCTATTAAAAAGTAATAGATAAATGTAGGGTTACGAGCGAACAAAAAAGTTCTGAGCAAACAAATTTTAGAGACACGCTGTATAGCATGGTTGCCGCCGCCCGATCAAAGTCAAAATTGGTTCAATGATTTTGCTTGATATTTGTTTACCCTGTATCAAATTTCAACGCTCTACCATAAATGGTATTAAATGGTATTATATCTTGGCCATTTGAAGACTTTTATAATAATTTTTTTTCACGAATCGTCATAATTTTTGCTCTAGTATATGAGGTTAACTTTATGCCCCGAGTCACCGGAACATCCTGTATAACATAAACAACAACATAATGTACGGGTGGGCAAATTTGGGTCTTATTATAGGCTATCTCAGAAACTATAAGAGATACGAAAAAAGTAGGTGCCATGTCTCGGTCTCTTTTTCCAAGACTACTCCAATCCCGCAAAGACCAGATCTCTATTCTATTTTTTTAAGTTATAGCTGAAAAGTCAAATTTTAGCGATTTCAAAAAATACTCATATTTCGTTTATTTTTGAAATTAGGGAAATGGGGTTAATACATTCTACAAGCACTTTTTTGAGTAGAATATACAGCATCACTTTTGTTTTGCAATATTTCTCATATCGGTCATAATAAGGAAGGGGGCGGCCAATGCGTTTTCAAATGTTTACATTTTAATATCTCCTGGACCATTCAACCGATTTGAATATTTGGTCTTGTTGGGAAGAGCATTTAATGCTCTTTTAAAAGATATTTTCAGTAAGACCGCTTGATTTAAAACAAATAAGCTAGAGGGCGTTATCTGCGGTTACATATTTTTGTGATTTTTGAAAAAAAGGCAAATGGAATGGTACTATTTACTTCACAGGCCATTAATCACCATAAAAAGTGCATAAAAAGGCGCACACTGCGATACGCGGAACACACGTATTAGGTATTATTGTTTTTGTTATAATTCCGCACTATTGCTCGCGTTTGAATCGACTAGGGCACTAGGTCACTAAATCGAACGGCTTCATCCTCTGAAGGCGACGCAGAACATCCTCGTTGTTGAGAAGCTGGATGACCTCGATGTTGGGATGATCGTGCATTCTCTTCTCATGTTTATATGCGAATGATGCAATTTCTGATGACACTGATGCTACTTTCAAGTCGCGATGGAGGTCGGTGTTTCTTATATACCAGGGTGCATTCACTATGCACCTTAACACTTTGTTCTGGAATCTTTGAATCAGACTTGCATTTGTCTTGCAGGTACAACCCCACAGTTGGATTCCGTATGTCCATTTTGGTTTTAACACTTGCTTGTATATTAGCAACTTGTTTCTTAGTGATAAAATTAAATATAGAATATATTGGAGTCTGCTTTGAAGATGATACATAAGTCTTCATATCCCCATTGAAACGATGTTTCAATGAAAAGTCCGCTCCCAGTTTATGATCCCTAATTTTCCTCTATCTCACCCAATGTCAAAAGAAAAGATTGATGATATCAAAAAACTTCTACTCTTATGTCTGGGGAAAACTGGGAAAAGACTACCGAAGATAGTCGGTTTTTATTCGTTGGTACAAGACCAACTTATCCTGAATAATAGTACAAAACCAACTTTATTCTGTCATATTCGTGCAAAATCATATGTTATAGCCACTAGGTAGTTAGT